AAAGAGGATATTTTTGTTCGTAATCAATGAGTTTTGGTTCCCATTGACTTCCATTGTATTTTTTGACGATACAATGGAAATCAATGGGAACCAAAACGGTTTGGTTGCCAACATTCTTTAAAATATCTTCTTTTATGTTCTGCAGAAAGAAAATAAATCCATACAGGTTTGAAACAATATGAGGATGAGTAAATTATGACAGTATTCATTTTTGGTTAATTTTCCATTTAACACATTAACTTTTTTTTTTTTATGTAACCTTTAAATTGCGATTTTAATGCAACTTTTTAAATTGCATTTAAATATTAAATTGAATATTTTATTTTGCAATTGAAATTTTGCATTTATTTTTTTTTTTCAAAAATAAAGTGAACCATTTTTTGTTTTTAAATATATTGATAATTATTTCATTCATTTTATTTTTAAATGCTACTTCTAGTCCTAAATATGGTTTTCAAAGAAGTCTGTAATGCCTGGATACCTGTTTGAATTCCAGTTCATTTGAATGGCAGTTGCCCAACTGTTACGCAATTTAAAATCTGCCATTATTGTTGATGAGGCTCAGCCAGTCAGCTGAGTAGTAAATTCCATGTGACTGTTGACTCTGACATTACACATTTTGTGTCGTGTGTACTACAATATATTTTGGAAAATTAAACAATTCCTTGAGTTTTAAACATATTTTGGAAATATAAGTCATAAAATGAGTTGACTAGTGACATTAACGAAGAACATAGACTAAAGTTAGCTCAACCTCCTGCTCAGACAGTCCATTATTGTATTGTGAGGAAACTCACATGGCCTGGCGTTCCATTTGTCAGGCTTCTTAAAGGACCTAAATTCAGGAAGGTGATTTTCTCCAGGAAATACACCTGGCTTCCTGTGGGGAATTACCTTTCAGTTTGTAAGGGACACGGATATGTGTCACTGTCACTGATTCAATGCTTGTTAAGCCCTGACGTGGCTAGCTTAGCTGAATTGCTGTGCTAGGGTGAACTCCACAGTCATTTGGAGTCACTAATGACCGAAGTTAGGAAGTGATTTTCTGTGCAGAAATCTCAGAGCAGTGGATTATCCACGAGAAATGCTTCGTAATTGGAAGAAACACTCAGAGAGCTCGATTGTCGTTCTGAACTCACCACTTCCTAATTACAAGTAAATAGATACAGGCTGATAAACACTCACAAAACGGCACAGCGTTTCCTAAATTCCCAGACATAAATAAATATATATATATATATTTTGTGGCCTTGTTTCCATCAGGGCCATACTATAAATATATTTTATTTATTTTTACTTATTTATTTTATATATAAATATAATATAAATACATATATACATATACATTATATAGAAATGAATAATAAAAATGAACCAGTAAGTTTGTAATAAATTCTCTTCTTTCTGCTGCCATTCATTTTCAACCATGAATCAATTCTTTTTGTTTACTATTTATCACTGTAAACCCCACAGCTATCATTGCACTGAGAGCATGAAGTACACCCCATGGATTCATGGCCTGGCTAACACAGCGTGTTGAAGGAATCCACTGCCTCACAGAGATTGGCTTGCTGCGGTGATTATGTAACATTAAGACGGTCTTAAACTGTTAAATTGCTCTTTTAAGAAATAAATATTTCAAGGGGGCAGGGTTCTTTGGAAGGCTAGGATTTGTCCCAATGGGTAATTGAAGATACTTGTGCAGCTAATTCGCCATGGCACTTTCTTTCTGAGGTGAATTTGTGTTGACAGACGGCCCAATTATCCAGTGTCAGAGCCAAATGCCATTAAAGCTAGGCCTTGCTCATCGCATTTCTTCTGGAGATAGTTACCGCTGATCTTGCTGCAGCCTGACTGATGCTTAAATGGGTGTTTGCCCAACCCTAGGAGAAGCTAAGGCTGAGCAGAGAGCACTGAGGTCTTCTTTGGCTGAGATATTGCTCAGTGCACAATTGATTTGCACTCATTTGCATGAGTTGTCTGAACTTTGTGTTTGTGCATTGCATACATTTTCGTTCTTTCGTGGCACACAAAAGGTGAATTTTTAAAAAAATATCCTGGCTACTCTGCACTTCAGTGACAGCAAATGAGGAATAGGACTTTCAAGCTGCAAAATGAGAGAAAAAAGTAATAAAAGAACCATAAAAGGTCCATATGACTCATTCCAAGTCTTCTAAAGTAGTGCCGTCTGTCGAGAGCAGGGGTGCCGTGTAAAAAATCCTTTTTTAATATTTTTAAATTGCTAAAATATTCAAAAAAGCATCTATTATATAATATCCATTTCTGATGTCGCCAATAATTAGAGATGCGCCGAAATTCCGGCTGCCGAAAATTAGTTAACCGCTCAGGTTTCACTTTCACGTGGTGTGACGCTCTGCGTATTATCCCGCTCTATGAGTGTGTGTATTATCCCGCTCTATGAGTGTATGTATTATCCC